TTTTCCAAGTCATAATTCCAGCTCGACTCGATACAGTAAACAATTTAATATTCTAGCATTTTATCAAAGGGTGATCTAATCGATCGCCAAGTGCACCATTGCTGACATATAAACCATTACAAACGTCTTCTTATTGTCAGAAACACCCCAAGTTTTACTTTGACTCCCAATAGCAGTATTGTGACATTTCTGGATCATGACAAGCAACGAGTGTTAATTTCCATTAACCCCCGCCGAAAGGTTTTATTTCATTCCACTCTTTGGATACTCCCAAAGGTTTCTTCCAGCAACAAAAAGAATGAAATATTGTTAAGGTGATTGAGTGGAGGAAGATTATAGGAATCCCTGCAGCAAAGTTATGAAATTTAAATGGATCATAATGACGAATAATTTATCTTTGAAAATTTTAACTTTATCTTTGTTTTAATTATTACATGTGACACATGCTATAATTTCATTAATTACCGAGCAATCTATATTAATAAGAGCTGAGAGAACAGTAAAAAGCTAGTCACCTTTAATCCCTTCAAAGTATATTAAAGCGAAGGTTAGGTTAAATACAAAATTTTGATACCACAACGATAAGATACTGTATTAAGTCAACTCTAATGATCGAATAATTTAGCTATACTTCAATAAATAGGTAAAAAGTAACATGGTTTTGTATTATTGTACTGAGAATACTTTATATTAACCTAATCTTAAAATGGTAACATCACTGCCCCTTTATTCTTTACTCCTCTCCCTCTCTCCACCCTGCAAGTATTCCTAAATTATCGACAGAGTGGATCATTACGATGTTAGAGAAAAACTTATACATATATATATTTACACTTAACATTTGATTGAATAATAAATATATAATATTATTTTATTGATTACTTATATGTTTTCAAAATATAATAAGACTAATTTATATATAATTAAAAAATGTGTAATAAAAAAATATATTTATTCATTTGCTTCGGAATAGTCCACCGTCCGTACATAAATACAATATCAATCCAATTTTTTAATGCAAAGTATTAATTCAACGACATCACCTAGTTTTTCAACTGATAATTACACACCAAAGACAAAAGAGCAAAGAGCGTTCACACGCACAGATAGACAAGCAAAATTAAATATGCAAAAATATTTCCCTCAAAAGAGAGAGGTAGAGAGAGAGAAAGAGAAAGCAATGGAATCTGAATTAGCTTTTACCGTCAATGATCTAAAGCTTGAAGTAATCATCAGTTAAGGTTACAGCAAGGCCTGCTGCCTACCTTTTAACCCCACAGTCTAGAAATCAACGCATCAGCAGAAACATATGTTTGCTTCTGTAATTGCGGCACACATATAAAAGTAAAATAAAACCTTTCTTTACACTTATTAGTTTCAATATTTCTTAGAGAAACATCCAAAAAGTGATGATTCTTAGTCAATAATCCCATCTCAATGTTCACAAAAGATAAGTGAGAATCGTCACGAGGTCCCAATTGTGCACATTTTCCTTACGCCAAAGTGCCATGCCGCACCACTGAATGTCATTTGAAAAGCAACAAAAGAGAAAAGAAAAGAAAGAAAGAAAAATGCCAAAGGCAAATTAAGACAGAGGCCAACTTTAGAGGTTTACTTATTCAAAATGTTTGAAAGAGCAGATTTTCTTTGGGCGGTCGAGAAATGGAGAGGGTCCTTTTCTCAGGCTCTCTGGTCGGCTCATTGTCAAATAAGCACCGCACCTTTATACCACAAAAACTTCTACGCTAGTTGACACGTCAAGCCTTGAATCTGATTTTCTTCTGTATATGGGGTTGGATTACATACGGATGGAACGTGAGAAAGACAGACAGAGGGGTGCCTAACCGGTTTGGTTTTGGACAATGGACCCATGGGTTAAAACTCTGATTTTTTACGTAAAAATGACGTAGAGCTTACATGCAGTACTTGGGGGGGAGTTTGACCTAGAGGATGGGTAAAGAAGAGGGTCGGGGAAAGAGCAGCTTCGAATTGCACGAGTAGAAGATAGGGAAGTTGGTCTGCTTATAAGTGCCGAGTTATTGACATTTTGCTGTGTTTGGTTTGGTAAGGTGAATTTGGTTCATCGCTTTTTACGTGCACGGTTGACACTTTGTTCACACTTTTTTCATGCATCTGATGAATCACTCAGCTGCTTCGTTCTTTTTTCCTCGTTCTATACATACGTAGGTCAAATCTCAGCTGCTTTCTTTTTAAGTAATAAATGCTAACAAATACCCCCTCCATACTTGTTAATCTTGTGCCTAAGCTAGCTGCAAAAGCCATAAGTTTTAATGTATTAATGATTACGGAAAACCCTAATTTAGTTAATCCATCAACCAAAGAGTTGACCATCTCCATGTGTTGGGGAACTATTAGCCGGTTGGTGATCCAAATAATTACATTATTCGAATTGCTTTTGGACAGATGTCCAATTTGAAATAATATACGTATATTACTTCATATCTTATTGTGATGTGACATGTACGTACACAGAGGCGGAGGGAGGGGGACTAGCAGCGGCCCTGCCCCCCAAGTTGTAAAAATTTATAATATATATATATATTTTTTAAAAAATATTTATAATTTTACTCTTATTTTTTAATAAATTTTATAATTTCATCTTCTCAAACATTACATTTTTTTTGTCCTTTTAAATTTAAATTCGAGCTCCGTCATTGTACGCACATATACTCATGTATTTTTTTTTTGTAAAATTTGTACTAATATATTTTGAGCTTCAAAATTAAAGCTTGCGGTGAGTTTCATGTTTTAATTTTGTTCACTTGTTTTTATAATAATATGTAGTAATTATTATAATTTTTTTAAAAGAAGAATATTTGAATTTATATTTTTTAAATGAAAAAGTCATGTATTAATTAATTAATCAATCAAATATTGAAATACATAATAATTATTAGAATTAAGCAGGTTGAAACTAGAAAAGACATGCAAATACAGGACCAAAACTAAAGCAGCGGGCACGAGTTTTAATTGTCTGGCCAAACTCCACTGCAACGGTTTCAAAGTCATGAGGTTAAATTTCTCTCTTAGCCAAGAGACGTATGCATGGAGAACACAATATGTTCCAGATCCGTGGCTGTGCGCCGCGTACGTACAAAAATCTGGACCATTCTCGCCGCGGACATACCCAGTGTAATAAAACTCCTTCCCCTAATATCCAAACCAGTAACATTAATTTGAAATTAACCGTACTTATAACTACCCTATAATTAAGTAGAAAATGTTTATATGTCATTTTCTTAACAACAGTGCATGCATTTGTTTTGGCAAATTAAGCAGTTAATGTTTCTTTCTTCCAATGATTAACATAATCATGAATTAACCTGAAATATTACTCTTATTTGATTAAAGCATGATGTTGACAAAGATATAATCGGCGAGCACAGGCCAAAAAGCTGGACAACAAAGCCTGACTGTACACTGTGGTTACGGGGTCAACCGGTTCAGCCTGAAAAGCGCTCAAAACCCTTTCTTCTTGGGACCCACCCTGTGCATGATTGAGTCCACGTGTCCCCCCCAAATGCTGACGTGATCGCACATCAGGTTCTTTCCCTTGGGGTTTGACACTGAAGCTGTAAGGGAAGATGATAAAAGGGACAAAAAACAGCACAAGAGCCACGCCATGTTTTTCAATAAAAGCAAGCTCCCCCTTTAAAAGGTGGTCCCGGCCGCTCCCCTCCCACGGATTTGGTCGCCTCTAACAGAGCGACACGTGCCTCCTCTTTTTTATTGTTTAATATTTTGAGGTCAAACCCCGCCATTGCCATTACATGCAAATTCACTCACATACTTTATCACTACTTGAAAAAGACAGTTGCCCTTACAGGTGGCACAGACACGTGTCCTATGCAAAACCTCCGGCGCTGTCAAGGCCTGAAAGCCCGCCGGAATTTGACCTCCTGTCGGGATCTTTAAAGCCAACACCATTCTCTCTTATGACTCATGTAAGTAACACTTTGGGAATTAGCATATTTCACTGTAAGTTGATTATATTATTTTTTTCTGCTTTTTCTTAGCCTGGGTTATACTTTATAAGCTTTCTTGTTATAGGCAAAGATTTCCCATACTAGGGAAGGGCCGAAAAGGATGTTGCTTTATGCATTGAGACTGTTATAAATCTTGTGAACAAAGCCAACAGCATCATCCTTATGTATGATTTGATTCATTATTGTTCCTTTTATTTAAGTCTTTTTTTATACATTTAGGAAGTAGGCATCTGGTCTGTACATTTGACATGAATTGAATAAACATATGATAACATGACTGATGTGAGTAAGATATGATAAGATATGTATACAAATAGAAAGTAAGGAGAGGCAGAAGGAAAAATGTTGTGACATATCAAAAATGGAAACTTCCCATTATATTAAAAAAGAGAAAAAGGAGACAAAGGTAGGATCTTGCTTCCTAATACAGTAAGCTTAAGAAAAATGCAACAAATTAATTATTAGTAGAAAATTTTACACGTATCAACAACCCCCCAGTAAATCCAAGAACCCATGAAAATGGACAAAAGGGAAACTCTTTTTTTTTTTGGTGAGTTTTGGGGAATTACATGAATTCATTAACATCCAAAATATCTGGGATTTCAAACTTCAACATGCCGCTGCAATAGCTTTCTCTTTCGTCTTCGGTGCTGCTGCTGTTGATGTACGTTGAGTTTGAATTCAATGGGGTTGGACTTGATGAAGGCGTCGATAAAACTGACGCGAAGCTGAAGCTCTGGTTGCTGTTGTTGGAGTGGAAGTTTGAGGTGTCTGAGGAAGGGTCCATGACGGTTTGATCAGAGGCGCCGTAATAGTTATAGTTTGGAGGTAGCGGCAAGTAATCTTCAGTCAAATTTGAAGGCATCGCATTGCCTTGCCAGTCACTTAAGTCGGTGAGATTTGTTGGAAAGTGGTCCACATTGGGGTTCATGAGTTGTGCGTCGCCAGAAAATGGAATACAAGGAGTACTATCCAATGAGTTGCAAGCTGGGATCTCCTGGACTTGCGTTGGGAGATGGTTAGATTGCATTAATGGTTGATACTGGTTTTGGACTTGGGAACCGCAAACTTGGCTTTCTGGAACATTTTGAAGAAGGAAACTTTGGTTTTGGTTCTGGTTTTCGCTTTGGTTTTCACTTTGAGATGACATAAGAGAAGTGGCTAGCCTTAGAAGCTCAGGGTTAACAAAGGATTGGACTCCAAGTAACCTCGACATGTTCATTTGAGATTGGTTGTAGAGAGATGAGCTTAGGATCGTGGATAGGTCGAGAAGATCCAGTCGAGGACTATGAGTTACCGGATCGATTCCCATTCGGAGAAGCCTCTTTCTAATGTGAGTGTTCCAATAGTTTTTTATTTCGTTGTCTGTTCTTCCAGGCAATCGAGCAGCAATGGCAGACCACCTATGATATTCAGAAGCATCTTAGTGAACACTGAAAAAGAACAGAGAAAAAGGAACCAAAACAAAGGAAAAGATGGAAAACAACTTACTTGTTGCCCAATATACTGTGTAGCTGAATTATTGTCTCTTCCTCTTCAAAAGAAAATCTTCCTCTCTTGATGTCAGGCCTCAAGTAATTGGTCCATCGAAGACGGCAGCTCTTTCCACACCTTTGCAGCCCTGTTATTAACAATTAAAAAGGAATCCCATTAGCATAAAGTCATAAAAAAGTACAATAATTCATCCATACAGACCAGAAAGCAGCCACATTAAAAAACACACACCAATGAAGAAGACTTTTCCAAGCAAGAAACACAAGTAAAGCTTACCAGCATTCTTTGGCAGCGTCCTCCAATTTCCATAACCATGTTTCTGAATATAATCGATCAACTTCTGATCCTCCTCCGGAGTCCATGGCCCTTTTTTGAGTCCATTTTTATCACAGCAAGGTGCTCTCCCCATGGTATAATTACAGTTCTCTCTTGCCTTTCTGGTTGTGGTATGGTTAGCTTTTGGTTAGACGACTCTCCTCGAGAAAGAGAGAGAGGTTGAGGGCATTGAAGAGAAAAGAGAGAAATTTGCAGCAAGGAGATGTAGGGTCCGTATGAGGACGTACTTGTATAAATAGCCAAAGAAGTGAAGGGTAAGAAACCAAAGCAAGTCAATTGGATTCGGTACCGCCTCTGTTTATCAGTATGGCTACGTGTCCTCCTCCTTTGGAAAAAAATGTGAAGGCCCCCTAAATTAAATCTGTCTTTCTTTAGTTGGATTGGTAAGAATCTATAAACCCCTCCATTTTTATATTATTTTTCTCTCCCATTAATAAATCTCAATTAATCCAACCCGAAATCTCCTTTGTTATTGCCCATCATTGTCCCGGCGGAAAGGGTCACTCCTTACTTTCTGGATTCATATTAGCTGTCACCAACATCAAACAGCCACGTGCCCTCTCTAAAAACATGACCTTCGTTACAGGTTTTCTCCTCCTCCTGCTTTTCTTTGCATTTGCATGGCTGCAGTTTTACAGGATTGGGGCTTGACTCGAGCTAAAAAGGCTCTCGTCTGGGATTGTGACTTGTGACTTGAAAACCCAAAGTCCTTGAATCAAAAGACAGCTTTACCCATGGCAGCAGCTTTGCTGGACCAATACTGTTCCCACCACATGAGGGTAATGCAAGCATTTTCCCTTCCATTTATCGAGATTCAAGGTCAATATATGTTTATATGCTTTAGATAATTACATGCGTGGGAAGCATTTAATTCGAGATGGCAATAATAGAGTTGGGTGTTTGCCGAAATATATGAACATTTATTATGCATACAGAGGATTGAAAAAAGGCTTCTCCTCCAATAGATTTCAAGATAAGGCTTTCCTATCCTGCATCGAGATGTTGTGTTCTTCATAGATAAAGCAATTCTTTTCTTTTGCTTTTCTAATCCTTCCATTGATTGGATTACACTTATATATTAGATTAACACCAGCTTAATTTTCATGGGAGTAGTAGGGGTATGTAGATCGAATTTTAGATCTGATTAGTCAACATAAAAATAAAGTTAGCACAAGAAAAAAAAGAAAGAGAAAGTTTGATTTTTGTGTGAACCTGAAAGACGGTAGCATGCACATCACGACGACTTCCGGTATAGTTATGTAGTTTTAGTCCACCCTTAGTTTGAGTTTTCATGTGGGTATGTTTCACCATATTTTGATAGCGAGCTTAGTCAAGAGCCAAGAGCCAACCCAAAATTACAGAAAACGCTTCTTCATTGTCTATATTTCAGCAATGATCATCAAAGTCTTTCATAATTTCATTTAAGTCATTAAAGAGTTATATAATTCATATTATTTGTACAGTTAACGTATTTGATAATGAATATATAATTAATTCACATGATGTTAATTTCGAATTATCCATTTACAAGAAATCATAAATAACCCTTTAACACGTTAACTTGATGTTATGGTCTCAAAAAGTTTTTACCAAAGAAAATCAAATCATTCGTGTTGGAATAACTTGTGAACTTGATTAATCATTGGCAAAATAATGCAACCAAAAAGTTTTCTTATATATATTTATATAATAAACAGGGGTTCAATTTTAATTACCTTTGCCCAAAAGGATAAAGTCACCATTGCTTGTCATGTTTGTCTCCTAGTCTTGGTTCTCAGCCACATTTGAAATATGATGATTTGCTGTCCAGCAAAACGTCAAAAACTCAACCTCATTGACTTATGCAATATTCGATCGACCCAGCAATTATTATCCATGGGTTTGCTTCTAAAATAGACTATGGATAGCTTGTGATGGCGATATGATCATCTTCAAGGAAACAAAAAAAAAAAAAAGGATAACCATCGTATATTATTGTTCGCATTTCTCACCAGTTTACAGCCTCTCGTTCCCCTCCCTTTGGAGAAAAAGCTTCAAAAGCTAAGCCTAACCTGGCCACACAATCACAACCACTCCGTCCACATACCAACTATTTTTCCTAGATTATCTCTTCAATTGAATTACGGATCATCATAAGGTCTTGTAACATCAAAACAACATATGTATCAGCTTGGAGACTGCAAATTAAGGTTAAACCAATCATTGTAAATCTCGTCCCTCTTGTGAAAAAAAAAATCTGTTCAAATTGAAGCAAAAAATGTGGATAAAATCAGTGTGTGTTGTGTGTGTTTTCTTCGTCCTACCATGTCAGACACAAATCTCGATTTGTTGCTTTTTGCCTATTTTCTTCACCCTCCCACACCCGTTAAGTGGGGCCATGAATTCTTGTCGAATTCATAGTTGTATAAAGCTATGAGAGAGAGCCCTTTTGAGTCAAACAGGGAAGGAAGAAAGCATAACAGGAAAATATAAATATTAAGAAAAGAAAGGAAAACGTGATTGAGATTAAAAGGAGACATAAGGTTTCCTTCGGGGACTTCCATTTTCAAAGCTCCGAAAATGCGTCCACGCCATTTCACCCTGAGAACTATTCCAATTCAACAAAGTTATGGAGAAGCTTATGACTAAATTACTCTGAATTTTGGAAGAAATTGCGGCTCCTTTTAACATTTTGTGCTGTGTTTTTAGGACATTTTCCATCTAGCCTAGCTGTTCCATTGCTTTTCCGACACCAAAGCTTGGCTTTAGGCCGGCCGACCAAATTGGCTGATGATCAGCCACGCCACGACGTCACGTGCATGAGTAAAGGGGCAGTTTGGTCAGATTGTATTTTTAGTAAAATCAAATAATATTATGCATTTTCCAAAAATTAGGAAATAAAATAATAATCTTCATTCTATATTTGCAAACTTTGCATGCACCACGGCATCTCACGTACGAGATCCCTTCCTTTCTCTTCTTCTGGGTTTATTTAACTTAATTTATTTCATCATCTAAGCTTTATACGTGTTACGATGCAAGACGACAGATCTCCGAAATGGTGACCACAAAAGAGGAAATCAGCCCGATCATAAGGCCACCACGTCATAACATCTGACGTCTCGATGTCTTCTCTTCCAAACAACGAAGACAGCTAAATATGGGAATTTTCCTTTAATTAAGTATTTCATTTAGACACGTGGCGATTCAAAAGCAAATACGCGTGTTGCTCCAAATCCAAGGCAGTCATTTGCTTAGTCTTTCTTATTAGTAATATTTAATTTTGTTTAATTATTTAATGGGAATAATAAATGCAAAAGTGAATTTCATGTGAAACCAGTGTTCATTTGGGCTTTGGCTTTATCTAATAAAACAAATATTAGCATAAGGTACGTACATGGTCAAACAATATTTTCCTTCCTCAGCCTTCCTTAGCTTGCTCGCTTGCCTTTCTGACCTGGCCTTTATAATATTATTATCCGTACGACCACGATGAGAAAAAAATACTATACGTAACCTTGTTTAACACTAAAACAGCCATTTAAATTTTTACTAATTCAAAATAATTAACATTAAATACGAGCATGATCATAGGTACATGTCTCCGTGTTTGTTGCCGTGGAGACACTGTCGTTAAATGAAATATTGAGAAAGTTAATATATTATATCGCAAAATGAGTATATTATTAATGGAGATTTATGAGTTTTAATTAAAAAGATTATGTTTACATAATATGGCTCGATAGGGTAATTAGTTGTCCAAACTCTAGGGTTTGCTTGCGCGTGGGTTTTCCAAAAGGAGTTGCACACGTGTTCATGTTTGGTAGATTATCTATAAATTTCCTACTAACGAAATCATGTTGTTAAGTTTCTGTTGTGAGCTGTTCGATTTGCTTCAACGAACATTTGATTAATAAAATCGGTCTGAAGGGCCATTTCTTTACAGGGAAAAATGAAAGATTGTTTTATGCTATTTCTAGATACCAAATCCAAAGCATTAATTTGTTGATGATGTGCCATGCAATTTTATTACTATTTATAATTCAACCGTGCAAAGAACTTCCTTTATATAGAAATTAAATGAGGAGAGTGAAGAGACGAACAAACACATGGCCTTGGTGTGTCAGCGAGGTCGTGAACTTTCTCAAACTGATTAGCGTCCGATGTAAGCAGTGTAGGACACGTAGGGAAGGCAGGAAAATTGAATGATACATGTTGGGGTTTCTGGGAATGGTGATATCTGATGAATAGGCAGATTCACGAGCTGAAGACTTGGTGAGAGGTGATTGGGTATTGAAACCTAGGCGAAACAATGAATATAGCAGTAAGACCTTTTCATGACTCTGATCAAATACCAATTTGACAGATAGCCCTACCTGGTTTTCTCATGTTTTATAGTATGGCTTAAAGTCTCCAGAGCATTCCAATCTGTCCATCTTCATCCCCATCCCGCTGCCTTGGTCAAGTAAAATAATGGTTGACTTCATCTAATATTTACTTGGAAAATCACAAGGAATTTGCCGAAGTTATTTAATATCAAGATTAATACAAAAATAAACTATATATAAGTGATTTGACATTTATTATTTTGGTCGGTAGATGAAAAAAAATTCAAATTAAAATTTGTGTCAAATATATATGTAACAGAATCAAATTTGACGGTTTGAAATATCAATAGAAAAAAAAATTCGAAAATGTTAACTCAAGCTAGTTTTTTTGTGAACAAACTATGATAGTTTGTAAACAGATCCAGGTTTCTGAGGACAAGCTCGGCTATCCTAGTTGGCAACAGATATTATCAGGCTCTTAAATGAGTTCATAGGCTGCTCTACATCCACTCTGCCACCTTATTTATTAATACCCATGGCCCATCATCGGCCAATGAAGGGAAGCTTACAGAATCATATAATGTATATAGCAATTTAAAGCATGCTATCTGTCGAGTTGTCGATGCATCCATAAGACCCAAAAAGACAAAACAAAACATAGCAATAACCATTATCAGTAATTGTACGGTACACTTGCCGCGAAGGAAGTTCCTTCTTTCGACAATCTAATGGCCATGGAATAATTTCATATTTCAAATTTATTCCTGTGAAAGAATGAACTATATATTCATTTTACGAATTGCAGGATTGAACTAAAACCTGAATGATATTCAAAAGAATCGAATGATTGGACAATGAATACTGATACTGTATACTTCAATGTTAAACAACTGTTGAATTTGAAGATATCATCTCCAGTATTTGATTATGGATGTTGCCATTAGTCACAAGCACCCCACCCGCAGGGTATAT